GGCCGCGCAGAGGACGCGGGGGAGGGAACCGTGACCCGGCGGGGGTGGCGCCCTCTGCTGGGGCGGGACGGGCCCCTCGCTCGGTTCAGCTCCCTCGTGGCCTCCTGTGGGGTCACAGTCCGGCCTCTGTGGTCTCTGGGCCGTGGCTTTGGTTCTCTTTTGGGGATGGGTCGCTGAGCTTCCCTGGATCAGTTATCTCAGGTTTGTCGCGCTGGGGACCTCCGTGTCTGTTCACCTCCGTCTTCCTGGTCTCTGTCTTTATTTTACTCTTGTTTCCTCCAGAGGTCTCTGTCGTCTCCCTTTGTGTCTCTGTTATCAACGCCGTCATCGTCATCTTCATTGTTGAGACTGGGAATCGCTGTGTCGTTCAGGCTGGCCTTGCACTCACTGTGATCCTCCTGCCTCAGCCTCCTGAGTACAAGGATCACAGGCGCATGCCACCACGCCCGGCATGAGTGTCAGTTATATCTCTGGGGTCCCCTTGCTGACTATCTCTCAGCCCTCAGCGTCCCTGCCCCCGGATGTCCGGGACTTGCCCTCTGTCTCTGAATGGCTGCAGGTGTCCCCGGAGGACTCTGAGTCATTTCCCTGAAGCCCTGACTGTGACCCGTAGCGGGCTCTGTCCTCGTTCAGGCCGCTGCCCACTCCTGGGCTCCCTTTGGCAGCTGCACACCACTGAACACGTGCGCCCCGTCGCTTGGATTCTCTGCAAGACCCAGTGGGGCCGGAGTGGAGCCCTGAACAGAGCGAAAGGAGGGGGGCCTGCCAGGAACCGGCGAGGGTGGCTGTTGAAGATGCTTTGGGGTCACTCTCAGGAGCCGAAGGGCAGACGCAAGAAGGCCTTCCAGCTAGGGTGTCTGGTGACACTGTGTAAAAATAACCCCTTCGGATGGGCTGGGGGTTAGCGATGGATATTGGTCCTCCAGCTCCTCCCGGGAAAGGGATCCCGGGTGCCCTCTGCTGGGGGCGTGGGGAGAGGCACCCGGGCTGGCTTCATTTCTTTGGTGATGCTGTTCCTTCTCTCTAGGTCTCTGGCTTCCCTCTCCTTCTGTCTGTCTCTTTCTTCTTGTTTTTTGTTTGTTTTGAGATGGGATCTTACTCTGCTGTTCAGGCTGTCCTTGAACTCCAGGGCACAAGCAATTATCCTGCCTCAGCCTCCCAAGAAGCTGGAACTACAGGTGCACTGCCCTGGGATTTTCCTAGTCTGACTTTGGTCTTCCCCCTCAGATCTCTCTGGCCCCTGTCCTTTAGTCTGATCTTCTGTTTCTCTTCTTCTCTGCCCCCTTTTGTGGGTCACTGAGCTCTTGTGTTATGGGTTGAATCTTCCCTACATCAAGCCAGGCTCGTGCAGGGCCCAGGGCTTTTTGTGAGTCAGGGTGGTTCTAAGAGGCTTCTCACGCCACAGCTCCTGAATTGCCCCTTAGCTGTGTATACCCTGCATCTAAACAGTTCCCTGTCCCTTGCAACCCCCACACTTTGGGGGCACAAGAAGTCATGGGCTATCAGCAGGATCAACCACACAATCTCCTGTTAACCCCCTCTGCACCTTCAGCCTCTGCCTGATACCCGCCCCCACAGAAAACCTGGCAGCCCCCACCCTTAGAGCCTCCTGCCTCCTCCTCGATACTCCAGATAGTTGTCCGTCTCTGCCACATACTTTACTTTTTTTTTTTTTGGTACCAGTGATCATACTTGGGAACTTGCGCTTGCGAGGCAAGCAAGGGAACCACTGAGCTAAATCCCCAGACCTCAGCTTTTTTTACTGTTTTGTTTTTGTTGTTTAATTTTTGTACCAGGGATTGAACTCAGGACCTTGTGCTTAAGGCAGGTGGTGGAACCACTGAGCTAAATTTCTGGCTCTCTTCTTTTT